CTGGACTAATACCGGTTTAATGGTTCTGGCCACCTTAGATACCATGCGGCAGTAGATCCCCCCCCCCCCCCCCCCCCCCCTCCACACACACACACACACACACACACACTCACATACAATCTACTGACTTCGAGTTAACTAGGCTTTTTGTACGTCCATAATGCTGAGCGTACAGGGTAACAAGTATCATCTTTCAACATCATTATTATGACGCGGCCGGGGATCGAACCATCGCCCACTCTCCGGGCAGACGCCCTATCCACTCTATACATAATGCCACTTACCTTTAATCCAAGATCAATAGTGGTGACTGAGATACCATCTGACAGCACAGCCTCACTGCGCATGCTGGCTGTGAACCTGGATGTTGTAACGTCCTGGTCTAATGACGGGAGGTACACCTATTAAGATAAATACCTCATGTTTCAAGCAAGGAAGTTTTAGAAACACAAACGTCAACAATATTGGTACTGTTGTGACTCGAATGGTTTATGCAGAAAGACGATGCATACGTTTGTAAAGCAAATGTTTTGTAGATTGTCGTCGCTAACCTGGTTCTCTTGACCCCACGTGATGAGTGTGCGAGAATCAGTGTTATACACCGCGTTCCAAATATCTTCTTTGTTGGGACATGAACTCATGATGTAGAAACCATTGTTCCATGTATAAGACTGAAAAAACAGGAGATTAGTATATAGGCTGCAAGCTGCCATGGGATTCAACTGAACACGAACGCAGAAAACATGAGTCGTTTATTATATGACATAGTTCTTGCTCGTTTTGTCATATTGTGTTAAATTGATGTTATATTTGTATGCATGCACCCTATGAAATTGGACGCATGGGCTTTGGTACTTACAGGCACTGTTGCGATGGAGTTCCGCTCATTGTCCACTAGATAACACATAAGTCAAAGTGCATTCGTCAGACCCGATTATAGAAGTAATGTTTGTGACAAACTAGTTTCGCATCTTTTGACCACACGTGTTTCAACTGATTACTTATTTTAGAGGACAGACATGTCCCATTCACGAGTTACATTGTAATGCATTTCATATGACACATGCCTATGTAACGATTCAGCGATCAATGTTTGGCGATATTCAATGGAATCGTTGTGTGAGGTCATCTTTCGATATAAACAAAATCAAGAGGATATTATATTATGTTCAACATTTAAAATATCGCAAAAAGAAAGACCCCACTACTGGGTACACATACACGAAAGTTGATTACATTTTGAACAGAACAGTGTCATGGTAATAACAAGTTTCAGCTTTGAGTGGTGTCAAAGTGAAAAGGTCAAATTAAGGTCAAAACTTATAATATAAAAACGGAACATACATGGTGATCCCAACTACAACCTACACATGTACATAATTCATCCCATTTGGACAAGGAATGCTGAACATCGGATTTGTACCTCTTGAACAAATTGGTGAAAACAAGCATATGAAGGTTCAGCTTCGTTGGTCCAGTGGTTTCTGAGGAGATGTTAAACGACGGGCCACGACACTGGCCACGACATAAACTCACGAGAGTTTCTGTCACGTGAGCAAACGTAACAATATAGGCCGGCGCGTAGGAATACTTGTAGAGAGAAACATATGTCCGTCATCTTCAAACCATTGATCAAACTGATCTAATTATTCAGAGTGTATCATCGGCAGGAAGGGACTGAACAGACAAGAACATTGGAAGAACACGAAGGAGGTAAGATAACTGCCAAATACACAATGTCAAGACTTGATGTCTTTAATAAGGTCAAATGGTCTCTTTAAACCAGTCTTGGCGATGCTGACCTTTGTCCAAGTTGCCTTGAACTTTGACCAGTTTCTATTCATTTGGCAGGGTTATTCCAATGATTCATTCGATTATTTCGCTGACAACTACAAAACAAAAAGTGTTTGTATGAAGGCTTGTGTTATGTGATATGCGTATGCATTGTTTCGTCCCAGAGTGAGGTCGATCTTTGCAGCACCTACTGACAGCAGTATTTCATGCTGGTGCTGCCATATATGCTCACCTTTTTTTCTAGTTCAATATTAATGGGGGCACGAAGGGCCAATTCGTCTAAGTCGTGGCAATTCGCTGTGCAGAGTCGCTTCCCTTTAGGCGTGCCAGAAACCTATGACCGTAAGTTCATTACAGATTCACCCTGGTGATGTTCTTGGTTTGTCAGCACTCACTCACTCATTCACTGAAGCACACATGCTGAAACATTCTCTCTTTTATTGATGTCATGACACACAGTGATCACAATGTTACAGTTGTGCAGATGTCTTTGTGTGAAAATTATAGGATAGTAAGTAGGTCAAATAACAGTATGCAACTAATTGAGGATATATCAACATCACATCGATTATCTTCATAACTGTGGGACTAATACATTGAAGAAACCCTCAGACCCATCAACACCAGACCCAAAGAACATCAGACCTCTGCCAACAAACTAGACCTGAAATCCGCTATTTCCGAATAGAACCTCAAGAGCCAAGACAATAACATCATGCGGGAAGCCACCAAAGTGTCTACCATGAACAACAACTGGCAACAAGAAAACTACAAGAAGCCATTGACATCAGGAGACACCAGCCAGCCATGAACCGTGACCAGGGAACCTATATTTATTGCTTTGACCATTGTCGGGGCACATTATCCAGCTGGCTTCAATTTGTCCATTGTCATTTCCATTCTATTACCTATCAGTGCTAATTACCCAAATGCCTTCCATTTGCGTTGTGTTCCTCATAATAAAGAAGTTGACATCCACAAATGATATTCCTTATATAAACATGTCATATTCTATTCTACTTACTGGGTGGGCGAGCTTGGAGCGCCTACAACAAATACAAATTTCAAATGACGTGTGGTAATAAACAATAGAATGGATTGCAATCTAGTCACTCTTACACGACTTGTTGATGTATTCACGAAACGTCGCACAAGTGTCAGTAAATTAATCAATTTCAAGAACTTTCATCTATTTTGCAGAACCACAACGTTTCATATGTACCTACCTCAAGATGCTGTTGTACTGTCTTGTTTCCCATGGTGACGCCAGCCAAGTCATCAAGGTTCAACCTTTTGAGGAAGTTTGAATCCAAAGACGTGTCCCCCTGCGACAACCACATCGCCATCGCTTGGTAGACGAACAGATACTGCTCCTGTATGTATGATAGAGTGACATGGTTTACAAAATCAGTAGCAGCAACAAATGATTTCCTCACTCTTGATTTAATTTAATGACTTCTATCCATGACGTTTGCCCCTGTGGAGAACTGGGTTAGAACAGGTGCACAACACTCTACTGTATGAGACGCGACTAAATTGGACTGATTGCCCGGCCCAGACTGTTATGACAAGCTGTAATATAGATGCGGCGTTACACGACATTCACTCACTCACTCCAGATGAAGATGCGCCTACCTTTGTCTGGATCATGTTCGTCCTCTGTCTCCTCATGTTGGAGGCGATGCTGACAACGTCAACCACGCCCTCCGTCTTGGCCTGCTCCATTAGACCCTCGATAGCGATGTAGGTCCCTGTACGGCCTATACCGGCACTGGAGTTGTTTTAAAAACAGAAAGATATTGAAATAATTATCAGCTGGAAAAAACACATGTACTTCAATACCTTCATTACAAGATACTCCTTTAACACAACGGCCTGTCGTGTTCTTATTGTCATAGATTTCGTATATTGTCTTTTACTTCTGTTCTTTCTGGCCGTTGTGCATAGACCTCTCTCTTCCCGTGTGGCGATAGGTTTACCCAGATACACTGACGAACAATTATACTTAACTGTTGGTAATCACCAAATGACATGAGTAATTCTTGGGTTGATGGAATGGGTGAGCTGATTACCATTACTCTTGATCGTGACACCAAAGCGGTATAAATAATGGTGTCTTGATCGGCAATTGTTAGGATAGGCAGAGCTTAGATTGCATTATTGCACGGAATGATGTCACTCATATCGTATTGATCTTTCAGTTAAAGATAAATAATAAGCAGTATGTGAATTTATTATTGTTTACTTTGGTTAGAAGCCTTCAATGAAAAAAGACCCGTGAACACACAGAGAACAAACTAGTATGTATGTCTATACCTCCACGTACACAAGACATATTGGAATCTGGTGGAATAGAAACCATTACCTCTTCTGGTAACATTGTAATGCACAATATAGTTAATTGAAGTATGTTCTCTTGTACCTATGAGGTATTCAACTTTTTTAATATAGCTATATTTAAACTCTACATCATTTAACCAATCTGTCAAAATAAAAGAAGGGGTTTGCTGTGCATTCCTTTTGCGCTTGGAGCATTTGTTAAGTCCAGCATCAAATAACACTTTACTTCAGAATCATATCCGGAAATCCCTCAACCAGATAACAACTGTGGTCTAGTTTCTAGAAAACAGATAAAAGGAGAATTTCCCTTAATTTCTAACATGCAGCAACATTCCATTGATTACATTGATAACGTTTATGCATGAACGTTCCCAGTTAAAAAAAACCCCGGCTGTGTCGCTACTCCGATTAACTTTTGCCACAAGCAATATGTGACACATATATTTTCACTCTCTGTGTAAATGTATCCCAGTATATTTGGCGATTTGATTCTTTATCTATATATGGTTATCAGGTTCATAGCGACTGTAGGCTGGCGAGCGCAGTCAACACAAAAACACAACAGCACACGCCATTCACGACAAACAAATATTATGCTCCATTCTTACCTGCAGTGAACTATGATTGGCTGCGTCTGCTCCCTGGATGTGACCTTCACCTTGCTAATAAACTCCAGTAGAGCGGAAGTGTCTGGGACGCCATGATCCGGCCAGCTGGTGAAGTGGAAGTGTTCGAGACACAGCTTCTTCGCAGCCTAAATACAGAGTGAAATTGTAAGTTTAATAATGTATTAGTCAGTGTTTGTCATATTTCACTAATGGTTATTTGGCAATTCAAACGTTTAATGAAACAAAGCTATATTATACCTGATTGTGTTGCACGGAAAGCTTAGTGACCGTGTAGTTTGCGAAGCGTGTCTGTGTATCCATGGTTACAGATATGTCCCCGTACGTCTCTGTACCTTTCTCCGGCCAATAACGAAGGCACTTCATCTGTGTTTAAATGTATTTAAAACAGATAATATCAAACAGATTACGAATATTCCCCAACACTAACGATATAAATATAAAACGTCAAGGACAAAGGAAAACCAGTCTCCAATATCTACAGAAACAAATTCCCCTGGGCGTAATGGGCAAAATAGCTGTGAAACATACACAAACCAATGAGCAAAAGAAACGCCACCAAACAGTTTTCTAGTCTAATACAAAACATACGCAAAATTTAACAGTTGAAGTTTTATTATGAAAAACAATTATTCAAAAACGGCATTTGAAAATGACAAGATAAAAAAACCCCATGTACTTAAAGTTCTGCAGACAGGTTTATCGTGCTGTGTGTACTGTCCAGTAGTCGATCAGACCCGCAGAATCGACGTCGATCTATTTTAAAGTCCCGTGCTACACACATGGCTCAGTATCGGATGTGACAACGATGGCTTTACCAACGATGCAGGTCCTAACACGGCATCGAACTGAGTACACGAGTCTCCTGACATCCTGATTTGGGATCCTACGCCATTCTTCCTGCAGAGTTCTTGCCAAGGCATCCCTTCTCCGAATCCTGTGTCCAAGTTGGTACCAGAAGTGCTCTATGGACGACAGGTCCGGTGATCTGGCTGGCCACTGCAATACGGTCACGTTGTTGGCGTTCAGAAAGACGCAAGTGGCTCGAGCTGTGTGAGGGGTTGCGCTGTCCTGCTGAAACAGCGTTCATGGGTGTCGTTGCAGGAAAGGCAGTATCACAGGCCGCAAAACCTCATCAACGTAACGGCGTGCAGTGAGATTTGGGAATATGGACCTCAGGTGAAGCACCCGTAAATACGGGTTTTCCTATGGGGTCGTGACCTTGGGTCTTCCACTCCTCGGCCTGTCTGCAGTACTGCCAGTTTGCCTGTGACGTGTGACAAGCCTGGCGATGGTGCACTTGGAGCAGCACATGACCCTGGCAACGTGCTCCTGCGAGGCTCCAATTTGCAACATACCGATGGCTCTCTCCCTCTGCTCTGCGGTTAGTCGAGGCATGTTCGTTGTTTTAAACGGTTTCATGTGATGAGAGAGTACAATCCTTCTCATGTTTTATACTAGAATTTCATACGGGTAACTGTGTGCACATTTTGCATTTTTTAGTGATTAAATTATCTTTTCTCGAAAATCACCTGAAACCAAAGCACATGTTCACAGAGAATAGGTAAGTTGCATTCCAGCTATGTGTTCCCAACTGTTTTCGTGCTGTTTGGCAAATATGTTGAAAACTGACGACCAATATTTATTTAGTGGCGTTTCGTTTGTCCCTCAGTTTATTTGGATCACTGAAAATCAGTGATGATACCATGTGTTAGCGAAAAGTAACGTTTGCATGCAACCAAATCTAATGTAGAGTATGTAGTGTTGATTGTTTCCATTTGTCCTGGGTACAGCAACTTCCCCTTTACAGTTGTATTGCATCATCGTTACATATTAAGGTATGTTACAATCAATTGTGCAGATGCAGTGTTACACGCGGGTATCCGATATTGCATTGTCATATAATGTGTTTGAATGAGTGAGTGAGCGTTTGACACTATTTCAGTACAGACGTATATTATTTTGGTGAAAAGCTCGAGAATGGGTCTGTTGCACATCGTGTTGGCAACTTTGTAACCATCACCCATATATTGAATTCTTCGAAAGTCGGTGTAATAGAAAATACATGTGACAGCATCACCAATATATCATCACCTTGCCTGCCTCGATGAGACCAGTTACCATGACAACGATTCTGCATTCATCCTGCCAGATCATCCCCCAGAAGTTATCAACAATCTCAAGTCTGTAGGGCCCTGTGAACGATATCAGCTCTTTCAGTACTTTGATATACATAGAGCACGTTGTTTCTGGCTTCATCAATACAGAATAACAAAACACTCATATATATCAAGGTTTTCAAGCCTATATACTCTTACGACATTGTAGTGGTTGTCATTAATGTACCAATCAATCATACCTTGTGCTGCTATGTAGCGCCTTTCGGTGTCGTATCCCTACAAAAACAATATTGTGGTCAGGTTACACTAGAAACTGCAAACGTCAGATTATGTTTGCATAAACCCATTCAGAAACAATTATATGATCATATATCATACTGCGCATACACCGCACTATAACATATAATAAGACTATTCGATGGGCTATAGACATAATTTTACCACTAAACAATGCTATGTCACACTGAGCATATCTTGTAATTTATCATTGTGACATAATATAACGATACAGTGTGGCTTTAACCTCAATTAAACACTAAACGGTCATATCTCACACTGAGCATATCTTGTAATTTATAACATATATTGATACGATACGGTGGGTTACGGCCATAATGTAACACTAAACGCTCACGTCCACATAGCTGGCGTTGATGTAGTCTCCTCCACCGCCGCTGTTGTCGTCATGCAGCACCACACGGTTGTAGTCATCTATACAAAGACAGAACACCAGATCAGGGGCGTAATGTTACAAAATGTGATAAATTATAACCCGGTGTTACATTACATTCAAGTTTAAACGTGCAGCCATTGTACTTTATAGTAATAAATAAGATAATGTGTACCCTGGTGCTTTGCACTGCCGGTAGCACCCGCCACTCGCAATATGTGCATAAATTAGTCATGTTTATATACCAACAATTCAAAGGCATTTCTAGAAGCTGTCCGGCAGCCTTGTGGTTAAAACGTTCACTCGACACGCCGAAAACCCGGGTTCGATATCCGACTTTGGTACAATGTGTGAAGCCCATTTCCGGTGTTCCCGCCGTGATATTGCTGGAATATTGCTAAACACTCACTCACTCACTCAAAAGCATTTTTGGAAAACTATTTTTTACTGTTATGTGTGTACGTCCCGGGAACTACACCACCATTGTAGGACAATCATCATGGGTTCGGATAGCAATATGTACCAGTACCACTTCACTAACTTACACGGGTAGTAGCCTTTAAATCTATTCTTCCCTTTGTTTTCTGGCAGCTGGGATTCTTGGTGGGTGTGTATGAAACCACCCGGCAACCCCTGAAAGTAACAAAGGACACTAGTAGCCCATCAGTGTCAGACGTTCTTGTCTACTTCAAACATATATCGAAACAGCAGAACTGATCTATTTTCAAGCCATTATAAAAAAGACCTGAAACTCGTCCTCTGCCTCCTCCGGTCGTTCCACCATTCCCCGAACCTTGACCTCTAACTCTGACACAGGTATCGCAGTGCCCATCAACACTTCCCCCACGTTGTAGTAGTTCCTGTCCTGGAGACCCACATCAGCATCTGGTTCAAGGACAGGCGGATCATGGTCCTGCTCAACCTGGATGATGTCATGTTGCAGTGGCGGTTCTATGTCACCATCTTCCTCATCTACTTCTCTTTCTGCTGTATCTCCCACTTCCTTACCATCTGAGAACATATGACACACATAACAGTCATATAATATCACACATACTTGTCATATCTGAGAATATATGCCACACATACTTGTCAAACATTTTATTTTATCTGGAACGTTTGAATTTTACTCAAAGAAAAGAAACCCCGTTGGAATCGATAGTGGTCTGACATCTCCTGCCCATGGACGAGACGAGTATGCGAATCATATCCTGGGGAATGGTAGCCAATTCGGCCTGCAACGCAAAAGCCAACTGCTGAAACGTCTGGGGTTGTGGATGATGTGGGCGTAGCCGTCTATCCAATTCATTTCACAGGTGCTCTATCGGGTTCAAATCCGGAGATCTCGAGGGCCAGGGGAGAACATCAACGTTCTTGTTGTGTAGACAGGCTCTTGTGACCCGTGCTGTATGCGGCCGAGCGTTGTCCTGCTGGAATACACCGTTGCTGTTGGCTGCAATTGGGAGGACGTGTGGTAGGAGAATTTCGTTGATGTATCGTTGCAGCGTAAGACTGCCCTGGATATGGACCAAGCCAGTCCTGCCATGATGAGAGATAGCCGCCTACATCATAACGCTACCCTCACCAAACCTGTCCACTTCCTGTACGCAGTTTCCGGCGTAACGTTCTCCCCGATGTATGTAGACCCGTGTTCTTCCATCCCCTTGACGGGGGATAAATCTTGATTAGTCGCTGAACCAGACATCTCTCCATCGCAGTTGAGGCCATACCCTGTGTTGGCGACACCAATGCAGTCGTTGTTAACGATGTTGTCGACTCAATGTGACGCGTAGAATTGGACGTCTTGCTCGTTGACCCGCTCGCTCCTAAACGATTCGGACGGTCTGGTCGGACATTCTGCGCCGTCCGGGTATTTGGGATGCGGTTGAGGTTGCTGTTGTCGTCTTGTCACCTGGCTAAAATCCTGGCTTCAGCCGACCGGGATTCCTCTGCCTGAAAGCGGCCTATGACGTTGTTTCTTTGCACTTCTGATAATCTTGGCAAGTTGTTGAACGGTCTCTGTTCGATTGACGCAGATGCCAGGCAATCAAAATCCGGCACTTTAATACCGTTCATAGTGCTCTTGCACGTGCAGTGCGTGCAGCTCCATGGCCCTTTTGTCAATGCACTGGGTGCGGTTTTTTCCGAATTGTACGTGTTTCCCGACTAATGGTTTGCATGTCCATGTGGTGATCATTATGATCCGGCAAATTTGTCATTGTCATTATAACATATTAAACCTCTTCATTTGACACCTCTTGGTCCGCTAATGTTGCTTTTATGCCCAAACATATTCGTATTGCGTTTCTTTTTTTAAAGAGCATATATGTTGTCTTTGTTTTAACATTATCAATATATTCAACCCCAAGCAATGATCGGGGGCGCGGGGCGCCCATTCGTCTAAGGCGCCATATATTGCATTGAAGAGTTCCGTCCCATGTGCACGTCAGAAACCTATGATCGTGGATTCGAATCCTTGATTATGTTTCGAGGTTTGACAGCACCATACCAGTGCTCGGGGGTTTCACCAAAGTGGTAAACGTCTTAGAATTGCATCACTTCGGACATTCCTTCCACATTAAGCTGACACGCTGTGATGTAACTGGAATATTTTTCAAAGAAATACTAAAACCCAAGTCACTCACTCATTCACTTTTTCACTTCCCAATTTCTTACCTAACACGCCAAGATGATAACGAGTGATGATGACTAGATTTGTGCCAATGAGCCTTGATCTTTTGGCAGTGTTACTTGTTACATTCCATTCCTATAACTCCCTAAATTCAGAAATGCTTTTATGTGGTGTATGTCAAACAAATAAATTATTCCACCCTCCTCAATGTCCAATGCCTTTCAATTCTCGAACCAAATCTAAAACGATCGCGACAATGTTTTGTTAATCATTCAATCCAACAGGACACATGCAACAATTAACCAAAATTAAAGTCTAGATGTGTGTGGCATCACACATAAATTGTTTGCGTTAATAGACAACGCTTACCGTGTTTTTCCGATCTTGTAGAATTCCAAATGTCCGTTTGTCGAACAACACGTTTTTGCAACGATGCTGCGGACTGTTTTCTCCTTCGTCGTCTGGAAAGATGAAGAGAATTTACAAACATAAGCAACAGGTAAAGTACTGCTGGCAACCATTAAGGGTTTTGAAAACATTGTACTCACACTAGAAATACCGTGATGATGACGAAGAATAGAAGTATCACAGCAGCGGTTGCACATCCCACAATGGTAGACACGGGTAAGGATTCCTGACCTTGAATAACAAAACATATTATTGGGTAGATATTGTATGATTTAAGGCCTCAGTAAAGCTTTCGAAACGTTGTATGGTTGACATTTGACGCACCAGTGACAAATATAATGTCCGATGCAGTTCCTTATCTGAGTTTACGCCATATGTTCCCTGTTTTTAGGTCAACAATTGACTTGTCTTTGCATGCGTTTGTGACGGATGCTGTTTGTAGGGCGGGATGCGCTAGCCTTGCGCGAACACCTGGTATCATCACTATTTGATAGTGATTCATGAACACATATAATCGTACAAAAGACTGATCTTACCAGAGATTTGTGACTATAGAAAGAGTTTCCTCTCCATTTATTAAAGTAAATGTGAATTGTAGCTATTTTAATGAAGGAGTCAAAGTCTACAATATTACAAGTATAAAGCATCAAATTCCAGTCAACTCATGGTGACTGACTCTACCCGACAACAGGCGCATACGTCTCAGCTGTGAGTGTCTTTTCAGATGATATTAACTAAAAATCCGAAACAAAAATGAAAAAGGAGACTCTTATCTTGATTTCCCTCATTAACGAATGAAATCGTGGCATATCTGTTTGCAGCACACAGTAGATACATATCCATTCAACATCATCTGTGCATCATTTAAGATGTATTTGTATTTGTTTTGTTAAAGCATAAAAGATGTGTCAGCATTACAGGATTGACAATGATTGTAGCGCTATTATTGTTCTTTGCAAGTGGACCCTGCGGTGGCACAAATGGAATGTTACGTTGTCCAACGGCAGATTCTAAGAGACCTGTCTGAATAATTTGACGATACTTGTCTGAGTTAATGTTATCCCCAACAAGGACTCCTATCATAGTTATACAACCACACACTGCCAGACGGGGTGAAAGCTTCGGAACCATTTCACAGGTTCACAGGTTCCCCTCCATCTTTTCCCAGATTTCTGTACAGCTGGAACACTGACTCATCTATACAAATCACATTATCTAAAATTGCAAGGATTTTACCAGTGCATCCGGCCAGGCGACCATATATGCATCATTTGTTGGAGGGATTTGCCGTTATTTCCAGTAGCTAATGTCGTGTTCTACTAACTGTCCATTCTTATGCCTCTCCTCCCAATTCCCAAACCAAGGTGTTTGGCAGACAACATTGGATGAGCGCGGACAAGTCGATCAACACGTCGTCTGTTTTTGGCGTATAAATACATGCACTGATCTCAGTTGACACAATGCATCAATGCCGAGCCAATCTGCTTTGGATTATGGTACACAATGGAAAGGAATGTCGGCCATGCTATGTATCTCGCGTATAGTTTTGTACCCGTTTGTGTACAGATAATAAGGAAAGATTCGTTTTTCAAATTCTGATATGTTCGAGGATAATATATTATAAATTCTGAAATATACTGATAGTTCATCGTTGAAGGAATACTGGCTATGGGTAAGATATGAATTTGAAACTATATGACACCTAACTAGTTTGAATCGTTGTCAATTTGTGCCAAAAAAAGCACATCTGTTTATTTTCAAAGAAAAGATGTCTAAGATACCCTTCAGCAGTTGTGTATTATGATATTTGGTTTTAATTTTTAAAAGTTTAAAATCAAATTGTACTTTAAAGAATAAAATAAGGATAAGATCAACTGAGAGGTACAGTTTCTTTTGCCCCTCAGTTTATTTTAGCTGCTACGTGCAATGAAGTATTTGGCGTGAAGATGCAATCAATGTTATTACGAAAACATACCTTGTGTACAGTCATCGCCCGTCCAACCCACGAGACATCCAGTGTCACATGACCCGTTGTAGCGGTCACATGATGAGTTAGTGCCAGCACACTTCCTCACCACACATGCTTTGTTACAGTCGACACCATAGTGGCCGGCGTTGCATTCTGACATAAAGAGTTTGTGTATTCTCATAATGAAATCACAAAATAATCGCCTTAAAAGTAAGTCAATAACTGGTTTGTTCCTGATATGATGGATATTTCAGCTATGCAGAACAGTTAATAATGACATTTTTAGAAAAAGTGACCTGATAAAAGGGGATTCGTTTCATTGAGGTGAAGGCAAAAGGCAAATGCTGTGCACCGTGGAGACAAGGTACGATGCATGCAGGTTTACCTCTGCTACAGTCTTGACCCATCCATCCGACCTTACATCCGGGCTCACACTTCCCAGTCACGTGATGACACGGTGAAGTTCCCTGACAGTTTCTATTCTTACATTTTTTCGCGCATGCGTCTCCGTAAGTACCTTGGCTACATTCTGCAAACATAAAATCAAAGTAGAATTTGCATATAGTTACGCTATTTAGATAATTTGGATATATTAGAGCGATAATTCGAAAAGACATTATCTTAAAACAGTTCGACTTAGATATCAGAATGTTCCAGAAGGAGGACTGGGAATGTTTGAGAATGTTGGCTTAAAAATCCATGAAATACACTGTGTAACATCTTTTCATTATGTGAATAACACTGATCATCAATCTTATCAAATGCAGTAGCAGTTTATACCTCGGGTGCAGTCACTCTCTCTCCATCCAGGAAGGCATCCAGCGACACACGACCCGTTATGACGATCACATGGTGTGGTGCCAGCTACACACTTTCGTTCCGCACAGGCTTTGTTACAGTTTATTCCATAGTTGCCTGTGTCACATTCTTTAGTACACGTGAGATTGACATGAAAAAAAGCAAGAAAAATATGTTTAATCAGGCTCAAAGTGCTGTTCAAGAGTGTGAAAATAAAAGGGTCATGGTTATGTTGACGTCAACTTTCGATATTACGAGTCACTTGTGTTAATAATGTTTTTAAATCTTGCTAAAATGGTTCAAATATGCTATTTTAAACTTGGTGCAGTTTCTTAGTATCAGTTTTATTGATGTCCGCTCTAAACGCACATTTAGGCAAACTTGGGTGGCCTAATGTGTTTGTGCAACTCTTTCATGTCAACATCTCACATATACTCTGCAAAAACAGAAACGCAAAAGAACTTAAATCGAGTGTTGTCGACATCCATACAAAACGTACCAAAAAGGAATTCTTGTCGGCATGGACTGGCACTGATTTGTGTGGAAAGAATGAGGTACTGCAGAAATGTGGTGAAGAGATGAACAAATGACAATAACCCACTCACGAGTGAGCCTGGCGCAGAAACACACCAACATGATCTGCCAGTGCAAATTCACTTGTTGGGCATTCATTTGCATGCCATCACAGTCGTACAGCAAGTGAACAGCGAAAACATGCCACGACTGACGGAATTCCAATGCAACAACGCCATCGGCCGATTGCAAACAGGAGAATTATCTTCAGCTGTAGCCTGTTTTACCACGTAGCACCAAGCACCATTACAAGACTGGCCGTGGAACCGTCATCAGACACACGTGACCTTCCAATTCCAGTCGACCAGCAACAATCACAGAACTTCCGACAGTTGGCACAAGCACTGCATAGTGGGTGAACATTCCAAAGGCCACAATTCGGAATCTGATTGCTTCCATTGGACGACGATGCCAGTCAGGTTTGAACTCTAATGGTGGCCATACAAGATATTGAGAACAGATGACCTTCACATTGAATGTCTTCTGTTCCATGTGTGCCCTATAGAAACTGGGTCAATGAGAATGATTTGTGTCTGTTGATTATTTATGATGTATAAAAGGGTGGTTGCTGAGCTATTTTCAATTTGAATATATGAAATCAGCAGAATGATATTAAATGTATTGAATAATATGTGACCGGCCAAATCGCAATTGTTCAAAACATGTCATAAACATAATATCATGATTCGTTATGCAATGGCCAAATATGCTATTTAAAACATGATCACCCTGGTGAAATTTTATATACCTGTCAAAATGTTTTACAAGTGGGGAATAAGGGCAATACACACACAGTAAACTAGGTCGACGTCGCACTGCACCTGACAGTAAGACCTCCTCACCTGTATCAAAACCTGTCTCCCTGCCACCCTGGTCTACAGTCTCCAGGACACACACCACTGACTGGGTCATACTACACCTGACAGTAAGACATTCTCACCTGTATCACACCTGTCTCCCTGCCACCCTGGTCTACAGTCTCCAGGACACACACCACTGGCTGGACAACACTACACCTGACAGTAAGACATTCTCACCTGTATCACACCTGTCTCCCTGCCACCCTGGTCTACAGTCTCCAGGACACATGCCACTGACTGGGTCATACTACACCTGACAGTAAGACCTCCTCACCTGTATCACACCTGTCACCTTGGTCTACAGTCTCCAGGACACATGCCACTGACTGGACAACACTACACCTGACAGTAAGACCTCCTCACCTGTATCACACCTGTCTCCCTGCCACCCTGGTCTACAGTCTCCAGGACACACACCACTGACTGGACAACACTACACCTGACAGTAAGACCTCCTGACCTGTATCACACCTGTCTCCCGGCCACCCTGGTCTACAGTCTCCAGGACAAACACCACTGTCTGGACAACACTACACCTGACAGTAAGACCTCCTCACCTGTATCACACCTGTCTCCCTGCCACCCTGGTCTACAGTCTCCAGGACACACACAACTGTCTTGACAACACTACACCTGTCAGTAAGACATCCTCAATCTGTATCACACCTGTCTCCCTGCCACCTTGGTCTTCAGTCTCCAGGACACATGCCACTGACTGGACAACACTACACCTGACAGTAAGACATTCTCACCTGTATCACACCTGTCTCCCTGCCACCCTGGTCTACAGTCTCCAGATACACACCACTGGCTGGACAACACTACACCTGACAGTAAGACATTCTCACCTGTA